CAGAAGCCCTCAACCCTGAAAAGATCAAGGGGACCTGCAGTGGAGGGTGTGTGGAGGGCATTGGAGGCAAAAGACTGGAGGGGCAAGCTGGGCTTAGACAACAAAAGGCTTCCATTGTCACACAAAGGAGTTTGGACATTTTCTATAGGCAATTAGGACTCACTGGAAGATTTTAAGTACAGGAGGACCCTACTTAGTTTTTAGAAAGATCACTGGGGTGGCTGTGAGGATGGATTGGAAAGACCAAGTCAAGGACAGGGGAACATATCTGGAAGCCGTTTCAGACATCCACATGAGATAGGACAGATGAAGCTATAATTGAAGAAACAATTGGGAGAGTGGGGAGCACAAAGTTGACAGATGTGAGAAATGGTGAAGACTACAAACATTAGGGCTTGGTGCCTGAGGGTTATAGCTAGAATGATTGAGCCAATATGCTGGTTACCAAGGCAAGGACAGAAGAGATTTGTGGGGGAGAAAAACAGTTCCATTTTGGAGTGAATTTGAGATACCTATTGGGAGAATTTCAAGCTGGAAACATAATTCTCTTTTATATATATCTTATTTATTTCAGAGAGGAAGGGAGGAGAGGGACAGAGAAATAGATAGAAACATCAATGATGAGAGAGAATCATTAATTGGCTGCCTCCTGCTTGCCCCCCGCCACGAGGATCGAGACCACAACCCCAGCGTGTGCCCTGACCAGGATTTGAACTCTGACCTCCTGGTTCATATGTTGATGCTCAACCACTGAGAAACACTGGCTGGGCTGGAAACATAATTCTCAATCTTTCATTCAATACATGTTAATGAGACAGACATAGAGAAACAAACATTTTATTTTTACGTTAAAGAAATAGAAATAAAGTAAGACCCCTCATTGCCTTTATTTTGAAAAAGAATATTTTGCCACCCCAAAAATAGGGAAAGCATAATATTTTTTTAAAATATGTTTTTACAGCGGGATGGGAGCATGAGTGTGTGTGCGGGGGGAGGTTGAGGGTTAATGGCGGGGGGGATAAGGAAACATTTGTAACACCTTAAATAATAATAAAAAAAAAACTAAAAAAAAAAAAGTAAGTCATTTTTAAAAAAACACACAACTAATTAATAAACATATAAAAGATGAAAAAAAATAAAATATGTTTTTATTCATTTAGGGAGAGAGATAGAAAGATAGAAACATCAATGAGAGAGAAACATCATAAATCAGCTGCCTCTTGCCCGAGCCCACAACCCAGGCATGTATCCTGACCAGGAATCAAACTCTGACCTTTTGGTTCATGGGTTAACGCTCAAACCACAGAGTCACACTGGCCGGTCAGAAGGCATAATCTTAAAATAAAGTGCAGTCCTTTATAATTGAATACATTTAGATAATTGAAAAATATATTTGATGTTTTCCCCATTTTGCTGTGACCTATTGAAAACATCACTGTGTATCATCCTGATTTGTGGACTATAATTGAGAACCACAGATTTGAGGAATGGGCAGAAGAGAGGTCAGCAAAAGAGATTGAGAGGAATGGTTCCAGACGTAGGAGGAAAACCAGGAGAGGGTGATCATTGAAGCCAAGAGAGGAAGAAGACTTTCAGAAATGAGGACTTGGCCAATAGTGTCTTTTGCCACCCAGAGTTCAAAGAGATCATTGAATTTGGCAATTAGGAGGCCATTGGTGACCTTTGGTAGTGCCCTTTCCCTAGGAGGATGGGGCTGGGGCCAAACTGCAGTAGTTTGAGCTGCGAATGGAAATTTGGGAAAAGTGGCAATTTAGAATTTAGGCTCCACTTTCACCAAATTTGAGGAAAAAGGAAAGAAAAGAGAGATGGGAGTGGGAGAGAGAGAAAGTTATTCAGAGAGAGAAAGAGCAAGTTAGGCAAGCAAGAGAACACATCTGAGCAGGGAAGGGAGATAACAGTAAAGGGTATTTTTATAATCAGAAGAGAAAGAGCTAGCATAAAGAAACTGAACTTTTTTTTCTGAAGAGAAGGGACATAATGTCTGAAGGAAGGGTCCAGAGAAAGAAGGTGGATGAGGTCAAGGCCCTTGGGGAAGGGATTAGCCTTTAACAAGAGGGAAGAGGGACACCTTGTCCCCTGAGAAGGGAGGGCTGAAGTGGAAGGAAGTTGGAAAGGCAGGCCAATTTTTTTGGGGGTGCGGCAGGGCACTGAGGTAATTAATGCTTGAAGGCCTCTGTTTTCTCAGGGAAGTGGGAGGAGAGGTTGTTCCATGTAAGAGAGGGGTGGGGCTCCCACTTATGCCCAGCAACATTTGCAGGCCTTAAATCCTTTAGGCTGGTGAGAGGCCAATGAGAGACGCCAGTGGCTTTATCTTCCACAAGCTGAATGTGGCTGAGAAAATTCTTAGAAAGTAGCAAGACAGAGCAGTTGTGTAGGGAGAACAGAGCCATGGAAACAGGCTTGAAGGCTATGGGGACTCCAGGAAAGCACGTGGAGTGCTGTTGTGGGGGGAATCCTGAGACCAGCTGCTCAGGAGAGTAAAGAGTCTGGACAGGCTCAATGGTGAAAGATTATGGCTGAATGAACACAAGTTCAAGGTGGGAGCTGGCATGGCTATATCTGGTTGGGAATGAGCCCTGGGATCAGGAGTAATGTTTACCTGTGTTCCTTTTCCCTCTTCCCTCCTGCCTATCTTCAGACCATGGCCACCTGGAGATCAAAAAGTTCCCAGGGTGTGTCATTAGGTCCATTCCTTACACCCTCACTTGCCATCTCCTTGTAGCCCAATCTTTTCAATCTGGCTTCCTCTCTCAGTCTCCTTCCTCATTTGAATCAGTGATGCAGTTTAAGCAAATTATCATCTTCTGCAGGTAAATTTAGCAATAACCCTCAGAAACTGATAGAAACGGGCTCCCCAGAAGCCTTCATTTTTTCCCCAAAGATTTTCCTCTCCAGGATCCAGGATCTGGTCTGCACTTAAACAGTTCAGGGACAGAGAGCTTACCTCATTTCACCGCATACAATAAATCTCTGTTTATTAAGGGCCGGCACAGTGCCAGGCCCTTGGGTTAGGTGGTGGCTGGGCTGTTAGAAAGTTTTCCTTTGATTGAGCCAAAAATGTGTCTCTTTGTAGCTTCCACCCTGGGCCTCCACCCTGTCCTTTGAAGTCACACAGAACAAGTATAACCCCACTGCAGTCTAATCCTCAGATATTTGAAAATGGCTGTGATTTTTCCAAGAGTTTTCTCTCTTCTGTGGATAAGCATTTCTTTCTTTTTATTTTTATGTCATTACTTATTATTGCCCAAATAATATTAGGTCTTATGGAACTTTTCAGAAATTTCAGAAAAGCATAGAGAAGGAAGTAAAGATCTACCATATCTTACTCCCAGAACCTACCATTGTTACATTCTTCTTTCTTTTAACCAGTATTTTTTTCCTGCACTCTGTATATTCTACACTTTTTCCTTACCAAAATGGGATCCTGCTCTGAGTTATATTGTAGAGGCTTCTTCTTTTCTCTCTTCAATACATTGACTTTTCCCCAATCTTCTACCAAGCCAATTTTAATACAAAATTTTATAATTGTTCAATGATTTATTTAACCAGCTTTCTAAAATGAGACATTTAGGTTGTTTCCAATTTTTCTTTTTTGTAAAGGACACAGTGGGGCTGGAATTTGAAGTGAGGTGGCAGTGGGGAGCGGGGTAGGTGAACAGAGAAAAGAGGAGCCCTCCAGTCATATTATTCATCCTATTTTAGCACCTGATTTTTTTCACTTTCTCTGTGGATAATTATACTTCCTAGAACATGATTGTGAGTGCCTGCTTAGTATTCAGTTGCAAGGACTTACTCTAATTAATCTAACCAGGTTCCTATTATTGGACATTCGCGGTTGTTTCTAATTTTTCACCATTACAAACCCAACTGTAATGAATATCCAGGAAGCTAAATCCGTTATGGTGCTGGACACTGAGGTCAGGAAGAATATTTTTGGACTTCCAAGCACAAGGAGCCTGCCAGTAGTTGTAACTGGAAGCTTTCTGTCTAAAGCCCTGAGGATTGGCTAAGACCAAGGACTGTGCTCGAGCCTCTGGGCTTGCCTGGGGTCAGTACCCATTTACCCAGCCCCCGTCACAGAGTGTTCAGGCTGCAGGGCCTTTTGGGACCACTGGGCTCACACCCTCCTCTCACATGTGAGGGAAGTGAAAGCCATGGAACCAGGGATAGTCCTTCGGCAGCTTAGCAGCTGGGCAAAACTCTGCTTCTCCCAGCATCCTAGGTCCTGAGCTCTAAAATTTGGAATCTGACCTGGAGGCCCCGACAATACCGCTTGCATTCTTTTACAGAACCACTTACTGCTGAGGCTGCAAAGGGGAGTCTGTTCTGGCACTTTTGCAAATGAGCTAACCAGTAAAGAGGAGGCATGGCAGGAAACTTGAGGTTTAGCCCAAGGGCAACTATACCTGCTCTACCCAGAACCTCCTTTTTTCCTAATCCAGGTGGTATGCTTAGTGGCAGCCACCCTATATCAGGTGCACCTGGCAAATGTATTTGGAGTTTGAGAAATAACGGGTGACTTCCTCGCTCTACTTAACCAAGTCAACTGTCCTTCTTGTTGGGAACGAGCTGTGCTAAAGGCCTGTCTGTCCAGCCTCCATGCCTGACAACTTTCTGTGGTTTCAGATACTAATGAGCTTCCCACCTTTCCCCCCTCCGGCTTCGCTACTGCCTGGGGTATTCACGCAAATGGTGTGTGATTTGCCCCTTCTGTGTTTTTCTTCCTGACTTGGAGGTAAAGATAGCCTCTCACCCCCCACTGACTCTCTGTTTATTCAACTGGGAGAGATTTCACACCCAGGAACCCAGTTCTCCCTCTTTGAGTGCCTTTCTTAAATCTTCACCACCACCACCCCCCTTCAAGTCCTCCACCTCTGTACTTCCCTGAATAATTTATGAGTCCAGGCAGGTCTTATAAAGGGTCAACCAGGAAAGGCCAAGAGTGCAGCAGGTTCTGAGAAATAGAAGCCCTCACAGTCTGCCTGGTCTTGACACCCTAAGGATGGACCCTTCTGCTCCCACTGCTGCTGCTGTCCCTGTCCCAGCCCTGGCCCTAAGTGTAGCTTCAGCTCTAGCACAGGCTCCCCTGGCACTCCCTGGCTTGTTAAGCCCATCACCCCTTCCTTTCCCTGGACAAGAAGTAGATGGGAGTAAAAGGTAAGTGGAACTTGGCCTTTGGCAACCTGAACTTTGGCTTTAGTGGGTTTCCTGGGAAAGGAAGGAAAATGAGATGTCCAAGGTGGCTCTGTGCTCTGTGAAGGAAAAAAAGGGCCTCATAACCCTCAGAAACCATCCCTTCCACATCTTGGCTAGAATATCTCAACTGACTTTTAACCTCACTAATCCCTCTGGGTGACAGGAGGGGACTCGGGGACAGTGGGCATTGCCAAAGCTGAAAGCTGAGCAGCCAGGCCCCCATGGGTAAAGTTGCTCAGTCAACTGAGAGGCATACAGGAGAATGCCCTGAAACCTGGGTTTAACATGACCTAG